GTATGGCTTCTATTTTATCTTTATTGTCTGTGCCAAGGAAATGTCTTAGCCTAACACTATCATCACAAATTTTATATTGGCATTGTCTTATATCAGAGGTTTTAAACCTACAATAGTATGAGACAGGAGCATCAAGGAAGTCTAAAAGCTCAGATTGGATTATAGTAAAAATTTTTAGATATGTTATCTAGTATATCCTAGTTTTGGTATAATACTCTAACAAAAAAGTTTAAAATAAAAATAAATATTATAGACATCAAAAAGATTAACTGAGAATAATATCAATGAGAAGTAGATACATTTGTCAATATCCCTCTGATGAAGGGATAGTTTGTGAAAATGGAAGTACACGACTAGAAGGGTGTAGTATTCACTGAAAAAGATGCTAGTGACCTCAATGCAAACAAGATGGCTGTGTAAGACGAACAGTATCTAAATATAAATTTTGTAATCTGCATGTAAATAAGTACCATTTAAAAGAATATTACCACTGAAAGAAATTGGATCAGATGTTTCAAAATGGGTAGAGTTCTGGACGAGTCGAGTTAACTCACGAGTCAGATAAGCTGAATCGAATTTAAATTAAGTCGAATTTATGTTTTTTTGACTCGATGATTTGCAAGTCAAGTTAAATTCAAGTTGAGTTAAATATTTACTCGACTCGATTTAAACTCAACTTGATTCGAGTTGACTCGAGTTGACTTGAATGATTTTTTTATCGTTCAAGAAGAATGATAACGAATTGTTCAACTTGAATGATTTTTTTTATCATTCAAGAAGAATAATGACGAATCGTTCTTTAAGAAAAATGATAATGAATCATTCAACTTGAATGATTTTTTTATCGTTTATGAAGAATGATGATGAATCATTTGACTTAAACGATGACCCAAATCGTTCGACTTGAATGATAATGAATTGTTTGCTCTTTTTTCTTCCTCCCCCTCCCCCTCCCTCCGATCTTTTCATTTTTTTTTATTATCTTTTTTTCAAAGTCGAATCGAGTTAAAATCAAGTCTAGTCAAATTGAGTCAAGTTTAAAATTTATATAACTCAAATCAAATCAAATTGAAAGATTTTATAAAATAAATTTAACTTGACTTGACTCGAAAAAAGAGAGTCGAATAGAGTTGATCTTTAAACTCAACTCAACTTGACTCATTCAGAACTTTAATTGTGATATTAGGTTATAAAATTACCATCAGATTATATAATTAGATTATAAAGTTATCAGCAGACTATGAAGTTACCATTATATTATGAAATTATCGGCAGACTATGAAGTTACCACTATATTATGAAGTTACTGGCAGACTATGAAATTACCACTATATTATAAAGTTACCAGTAGACTATGAAGTTACCTTTATAACCTAACTTAAATCGCATGTGACTTACTTTAATAAATTATATAATTTTCAAATTTGTAAAGAGTATATATTCTTTATTTTGAAAATATTTTACCAAATTTTCTTTTATTTTATTAGTAACTTCTACAATTTCTCTTTCTTTTATATTTTTAAATAATTTTATTATATAATAATATTTATATTTATTTTAAATTAAATTCTTTTAAATATATTCTTAACAAATAAATTCTCTTATGATAATTTTATAAATATAAAAATCAGACTTTATTTGTATATGTTCAGTTAAAAATTTTATAAGATTATCTATCATCTTTGTTAATCCTTTATTATATATTTATTACTTTACAGAAATTTGATTTTCTTAATACACAGTAACTGTAAAGTGACTGAATAGTAAATATATAGTTACTATCTTATTTAGTAATAGCTTAATTGCAACCTAATAGGTACTATGCAGTTATTAAATTTTAAGAAAACAAAGTTTCTGTAAAATAAGATTGACTAATTTGTTAATGTAAAAAAAAATAAATATTTTTTTAATTTTCTTTAATAAAAAAATATTTGGATCTGATGATTTTTCTACCAAATAAAAAAAATCTAATCTTTCTTGATTTAATTTTTATTATTTATTTAAAGTCAAATTATTTTCTATTTGCTTTAAATATAATAAATTTTAAAAAATTTAAATTATATTTTTTTAAAAAAATTATCTGTTTGATTATTTGAGTATAACTAATTCAAATTCAAAAATATTTGGTTTAGTTTCATTTGTTATAATTTCATGATGAAATTTTATTTCATATATACATTTCATAAATATTAATAGTATTTATATACTGCCTTAATTATTTAATTGATTCTTTCTGTAAAATTATTTGTTGTTCATAATAAATCATTTGTCAAATTATTAGAAATATATCTTATATCAAAAAACTTAATCTCTATTCAAAATATATTCAATTTTTTAATAAATCATTAATTATTTTTTCTTTTTATTTTTTTTTAATAAACAAACTATTTATAAATTTATTAAATAGTTTAGTTATTTCAATTGCAGTTGTTTTAATTTGACAAAATTCTATAAATTTAAAAGCTAATGCAATTGAAATTTTAAATAAAATATAATTAATTAATAATTAAAAATAATATAATATAAAATTTTAAAATTTTAAATTAGAATTTTACCAAAAATTTTTAGATATATGAGATATATGCTAATTATTAAGATTTCTCCAAAAGTTTTTATTATATAAAACTAATATAAAATAGATTTATGTAAATATTTTAAATTGTAAATTTAATGATTAATGTTTATTAATTATTATATAAGACTTTTAATCATCATTTTGACATTCATGAACTTGTTGAAAACTATTTTCTGATATCAAATTCTCATAATATTATTTGTGTTAATATATTATACTATTATAAGAAATATAATTTTTTTAATAATTTTAATTACTAATTTTATAATTAAATGTTTTTCTTTATTACTCAATGCTATTATATAATTAAAAGAATTATATTAAAATATTATTATAAAATATAAAATATAATAATAATAAATTAAATAATAATTAGCAAATACAAGAGGTAAACTATAAATAACCATATTTTAGAAACAATAGATAATACAAGAGCATAATCTATCATCAATTCCAATATATAATTTTGATCATTTTTTAATCAAAATTTATTTGAAATGTTAATTAATAATATCAATTAGATAAATAAATAGGTTTATTAAGACTAATATTTAATAATATAAAATATAATTATAAGATTTTAATTTATTAACAATTAAATTATTAAGTTATATCTATAAGCCTAAATTATTTTTAAATTTTTTATTATCTCTTTTAATAAGTTATCAAAGCTTGTTATTATCACTAATTTGATGCTGATTTGTTAAGATTTTATTAATTACTTCTTCTGAAGTACCATTAAATGGAATTAATATTTTAGCTTTAATATCTTTAGTAATTCTTTGATCTGCTTTTCAACTAATAGCTTCTGAATTTCTAATAGCATAAGTCAAATTAATTTGAGAAATTTTTGGTATATTATTTACATATTGTGCTGGATTATTTGATCCTTGAATTCTAATACATAATGGAGTTTCTGAATTTAACCATGATAAGTGATATTTAGAAATTACTCTAACATTATATAAACGCATAACATTGGCATTTTTAATCACATGTTTTCAAACAATTACCAATAATACTACATAGGCATTATACATAATCCATACCAGCATCGTTGATCTTTTTCTATTCCTAAATTTATATGTGAAAGTAATTCGATTCCTTTGAAGTTAGAACCACTATATCATCAAAACGATTTGTAGATTTTTTTGTTCCTAGTTTGGTTGTCCATTCTAAATAGTCTACTCACCTTGTATACGTTCAATAGTTAAAATTTCTGTTTTAAATTAATGTGTCTATTTTGGTTTTTTAAGCGACAATTTTCTAAAATAGGTAAACTTGCTAAATACCACTCAGCTGCTTGGCCAAAAAGTACATTTACTGAGCCATCATTATTATATTTAACTTGTTCTTCATAACTCTCTATATCAAATAAGTTTAGTTAAATATGCAAAGTAGAAGTATATAATAACTAGAAATAAGTTTATAACTTATAAAAGATAAAATCAAGTTTAAGAGAAAGAAAAACTTGTAAAAGATAACCAAATTAAACGCGTAAAATAAAAAAACTTATCATTAAGTTTATATATTAATAGTAAAAAATCTTTTCGCGTAATTGAAAAAATAAAAATTTTAATTTACACTTTATCACGTATGTGATATTTTCAAATTAGATATTTAATCAACATCATTTATCAAAAAAGCCACATTTTTTTTTTTCAATAATCAAAGTTTGTAACAACAAACTTCTATAATCATTTTCGCAGCAAAAAAATTAAAACCAATTTGCGAGTCACGTTCAACAGCGATGATCCCAAAATTTGTGTAAATAAATCAACAATATTGATCGTAAAGTTCGGAATAATTATTTTGTGAGGTTGATTTCGAAGTGCTTTTTTTGCTCAAATTTTTTTAACATACGCAAGATAATATTGCTATTTGAATCTTTGGATCTTGCATTATGCTTCAGGTTAAAGTTGGTAATAATCCAAAAAATCAATATTTAAATTATGATTTTACACTCATCTCCCTTCGCTATTTGCAGAAATTGTTGAATCTTACAGTTTGTCGTTACAAGACAGAAAATTTTGATAGTTAAAATCGCAGAATATCCGATCACCCAACAGAAAACGAAAGAAAGTTCAGTTTGAATATGGTTTTTTGTAACATAACTTGAATATGTATTTAATTTCATTCGGATAAAACAGAATTCTCTATATGATCAAAGAATTATTGTATTACATTACTACGCCTTGTGACTTCTCATCACGTGTGGTATGGAAACGTATCTACTATTTGTACTTTAATACCAGAATAATAACTTAGAAGAAATAAGAGACTTATACTATACTGCTAACTAAATGGTAAATAAACTTTCCTTTTATCACAATCACATAGATAAATATATCATGTAAATTATTTAAAACAAATGTTATAATAAATACAAACGATAAATCATGACCAAATATTTCCAAAAAAGGAACTAAATAAGAGAAACTTTAGTTCTAACCAAACCCCCACGAAAATTTTTGATTGGCTTAGGAAGAAGCATTTGCAGTCGTCTAAATGCTTCATGAATGTGTGAGGGTTGTAAAGCAGTTTGCTCTGAAGGAGGTGAAGAAAATAAATACACATTCCTATTTTCATGTTCATCTTCAAATGTTCCTCTAGGACGATTGAGGCTCTTGTTGTGAATAATTTGGTCCTTGTCTAAATCCCTTTTGACCCTTAAAGCTGTTTCCGTCAAGGTGCTAACCATCTCAAATGTGAGAAATCCGAGAATGTCTATAATGTCATCATTAGGTTTCATATCTATATAAGCAGACATGTTAGCCCATTCACGGAATCGTTTTGCTTTCCTATATGTGAAAGATGCTTGTCGACATTCTGAATAATGCACATACTCTTCTCGAGTCATGGCTCGAGTTATTTCATCAGCATCCTAATATGGAGTGAAAACTCAATATTTAAAATTTCACAAATTATCTTAAACAGGTAATTTTTAAGAATCACACCTTTAATCTTTGTATAGAATCATTATAAGCCTCTAACTCTTCTTCATCATCGTCATCAGAATCAGCATTTAAAAATTCAGAAAACGAATTGACAAGTTCCCAGGAGAGTTTAACTTTCATTTTTCGTGCCTTGGCTATTTATTGATCTTTAATCAAGAATAGTTCTAATTCAGCAAAATATGATTAATAGCAACAAAATGATATAAAAAAACTTACCAATATAGATAATATAGATGGTTATAAAATGATAAAATAATTAATGTCATAGAGAATGGACTTTGAATTTAAAATTAAGTCAAACCTGCATTCGGTTCTTCCATTATTTCTTCAGCCGCATCATTACCACCCGAATCTTTTGCATTCTTTCGTACATCTTTCCAACTTAAGTAGGTTCTTAACCGATTTACTTTAGCACGATCATGACGAATTAAAAAAATTAAATCTTCAGCGCTCATGTACCTTGACCCACGTTTTGAAGCTTGAGCTGCAGCTTGTATAATCTGATTAATTAGGTGATAATTATCAATTATTTGTTAAAAAACAACATTATTATAATAGTATTACTTACGATTTCAATCACTTGAGAGCGAACGATATCTTCAACAAGATTTATCGTTTCAAGTGAAGGTTCTGAGACCTCACCGAAAACAAACATCATTTGTTGAATCTCTGAAGAATAACGATATTTTGATTTTTCTTTTTCCTACATAAAGGTGAATACATAATACTAAATAAATAAAAGTTCAATTTTCAAATAAATGAATAGATAAATAGTGAAAATTTTCATACCATGAATTTTTTTTTCAATGAGAAAATCTGAATACATCAAAATTTTATATTTTATTGTCGTACAATTACAAAAAATTGATATAAATAATAACATAAAAGACGATTTACATTCTAAATTAATTCCCTCATATATATATATATTTTTTTTTTATTTACTGTAAAAAACTTCAAAATGTCTGGTCGTCAAGGTAATCAAAATAAAAATAATTTATAATTTGATAAACTTTTCAGTTATTTTAACCATTTCTCTCTTCATTAAGGCGGTAAATTAAAGCCACTTAAACAGGGCAAGAAGAAATCAACAGATGTGGATGATGCTGACCTCGAATTCAAGAAAAAGCAACAAGAAGAAGCTAAAAAATTAAAAGAGTTAAAAGAAAAGGCTAAACAAGGTGGACCGCTTGGTATGTTAATAATTTAATAAATTTTTTTTTTAAAAAAATAAAGAACTTTTATATTTAAAAACTAATAAATTTATCAAATGTTAGTCGGTGGTGGTATTAAGAAGTCTGGTAAAAAATAAAGAAAAAAAGAAATCATCACAAATTTTTATGCATTGTTAATACGAAGTTTATTTCTAGTAGAAATATATATCTCATTTTAACTTTAGAAATTTTAGTTGAATTTTCTATTCTATATATGTAATTCATCATTAATAATATAGAGGTTTATTATTAAGTTGTGATTTGTTCTATTTCTTCTTACTCTTCTTTAATGACATAATTTTTTATAAAATTTTGAATAGCATCAAAATAACCGAATTGAGTTATGGTGTCATTATGAGTTCCATTACTAAATTCTTTCCATAATTTTGTTGCTCTTGTTTGAGACAATTCATATAATTGACGCATATGTGATGGTGGAACCAATTCATCACGAAGCCCAGATAAAAATAATATCGGAATATTAACGATTTGTTGTATAGATTGTTCAGATGGCCAGATTTGATGACAGAGAAAGGTCAGATATCTAATTTGTGGCAATACATATGGTATCACTTTGGGCTAAATAAAAAATATTAAGGAAAAAAAAAAAGGCTGAATGATTGAACGAACGAATGAATAAAAAAAAAATAAAATAATATGGATTATTACAAGACTAAGAAAAGTATTTTCTAAGATCATGCCACTGAATTTATCTTCATTCCTGGATACTAGATCAATTGACACGGCACCTCCAAGGGATTGGCCATATGCGATCAATTTTGTATTTTTTAAATCCTCATCATTCAAAACAAAATCTAATATTGTCTATGATGATAAAAAAATTTAATTAATTTAATCAATTTTATAACGAGAAAAAAAAACCCCCCAAGTTAAAACCTGCGAATCAATCCTAAGACCTTTTTCTGTCGGAGTTCCTTCACTCAGACCATATCTAATATGTGGGTATTATCTGTCAAAATTTATCAAGGTATAAATTTAAAACCTAAAAAATATTTTATCAAAATTACCCTCTGTATGAAAGCATTACGACATTACACTTGAAGTCGATATAAAATTTTCTAGCAATGGGTAATCTATGTCCCTAGATAAACATGAATCAATGAATTTCTTTATAGCACATATCCAAATAAATGACTCGAAAAAAAGTACCATATTTCCGGCATTGGCCTATTTCATTAAAAAAAAAAAAATAGTGTATACGATGAGTGACATCAAAAAAAAAAAAAAGATACATCAAAATACATGAAACTTACATGAAAGAATAAAATGGTAGGTCTATCTCTTGCATTTTGGGGTAATTTACATATATATGCTCTTAATTGAATCCCATCTCTTGTCATTAAAAGCTCTTCGGTGTAATCCATCCCAAATTCGGAGGGTTTCGATACCTATTTAACGAATAAAGCTTCACGAAATTATATAGTTGCATACCAAAAAATTACGCGAGTAATACTTACGAGGCTTCGAGATCCATTAGGAAATTTAGCAGGATATATCAAAGAACATTGAAACGAGTATAATAAGCCGGCAAAGGTTAAAGTTAATAAAGATGTACCAGCTATAAGGTACTTTACGTAACTTGGTAAGTAATCTGAAAGGGACATTATTGAATCTTTATGAGTTCGAATCGAGTAAGATTATTCGATCATGTATTGCGTAATTGGTACTATCGTCAATCAAAAAAAAAAGGTTATCAGGGGCATTAATCGAGGTCTTTCCATAAGTGGACATCTGGGTGGCTTGGCTGTGTTAAGAAGTTACATTAACGATATCAATGATTATGCACGATAGCACGCGTGAAAGATATAATTACCTCGATTCTCAAACGAACATTATCACTAAATCTAATTAGACAGAAATTTTATAAAAGCGCAGTCATTATATATTTGACCTTCCTTAAATAGCTTATGCAAATTTGTGCACGCATGAAAGAAACGGAAAACGGCTGTGCTACTCGGTGCCTGCAGTATTCACAAAGAATGGGTGAGGGCTTATGTCATCCTTGTCACCTGAAGCAATTCTATGAAATAGGGTTTGGGGATTTTACTTTTTATAATCGTCATACGATCTGCGGTTCGATTTTAACCTTCATATAAACTTGATTTCCATCCTGGGCAGGGTCGTTAGCTGTTAGCTCCCGACATTTTGGTTATCGTACCATCTTACTTTCTTTATAACTGTTGCTTTCTTCTCTTTTCCTTTCTTTTTTGGCTTTCAAACCTTGTGCTCTTTCCTATCAAGTATACGCGTTTAAAAAACGGTATTTAAACCTACCGTGTTGAACCTTTGGTGTCCAAATGTTGTAGAAATTATATTGCGTACCCTTTTAACTGTTATAAATTACCTACCCACCTTTAAATTTTTAAAGTGGTTATAGACTTTTTTTTCTAAAGTCTTCCCCCCACTTTCTTAAATAATAATAATCATAATCATATTAATATTAATTTAATATTAATATTAATTTTTTTTTTTTTTTTTCAAACTTTTATTTATCCTTTGAAAGAACTACGCTTATTCTTGTGCAAAGTTATTCGAAACCCTCTGATTTAATTATTGTTTTATTAGTTATTTTTATATCGTTTTCCTTTTTTGACAAGAAATGGGGAAACGTTTTCCTGGTATTTCAATCAAGATTCCTGAGAGTCGTTTTTTCTTTAACCATATTTCAAAGGTATGTTTTACAAAATAGTGTAAGGGTGTAACTCCCGGAGAAACGCGATAACTTTTCAGGGGCTTTTTCCTATATGTATACCCTTGACCAATCATTTTTCTTATAGCGACATGGAAGAAACTTTTTAGCTCTCACAGCAATTAAGTCACTTTTTACTTGGATTTCTTTTTTTCACTCCCCTGCGCTCTCGTAATTTATCTATTTTTTGATTTTTTATGTTTTTATTAGAGAAATCTAACCCTAAACTTACATCCTTTTTCACTTAGGAACCGGATATAAAGTTACCTAACCTGCTGCTCACCGGCTCGCCACTTCCTTCCCCTTTAAAGACGGACGAATCATTTGATATAGATTTGGATCGCTCTAGAAATGAGTTTAACCAATTTAATCAAGATTTGGATGAGATTGCTCATTCCATGGAAAAATTATTCGAGGATGCTCCTGTATGGCTTGCAAATATAGAGGAAATTAAACGAAATCAAGGTATGATGAATAATGTTTTTACGAAAGCTTTTTTTTTTTTTCGCTTTTTTGATTATAATGACTCATTTTTCATTTTAAATTTTTCTTTTTAAAAAAATAAAATAAAATAAAATAAATAATAATATTTTTTTATTAGATTCCGTTGAAGAATGTATTTTAGCTACACAAGAAAAGATTTATGAAAATGAAAACCGTTTGGAAAATTTAAAATCACTTCAATGTGAAGACACAGAGGATATCAATAATGATCTAAAAAAAATTCAAGAACAGATATTTGATGTTGGTTTTATTTTTTTTTATAAAATATAGATTTATTTTCCTTTTTTATTCTTCAACTAATATTAATAATAATTATTCCCGTTTAGATCCTCGAAAAACATCGATGTGCTAGATCAAATGTAGCAAATATTTGTAATAACCAATCCAAAACTACTGAACAACTTGATCTTATGTTGCAAGCTATACACGAGTATGCTCGATTAATCCAGGAAGCAAGTCTCACGATTAAACATTTCGATGATGTTGGGTCACCATTGAAATATGAATCACTGGACTTGTCACCGTTTAGACATTATAAGGTATTTGATAATAAACGAAACAATTTTTTTTTTGAAATATTTTTTTTTTTTTTTTTTTTTTTTTTTTAAAAAAAAAAAAATAAATAAATAGAAAGTTTTTATACTAACTCCCGAATGATGAAAGGGCAGTTCCTACTTCGAAGACCATATCTATCAAGTTTCCCGTGTAAATACTCCAGAGCCGCAATCTCCGATATCTCCTATATCACCAATATCAAATATGCTGAATTCACCAGAATTACAAAGCGCATCTACAACGACAACTCATACTTCAGCAACAACTCCAATGAGTTTAGATATCAATTCTTCCGATTCCCAATCTCCACACCCACCTATACATCCATTACCACGCTTTCAAATTAAACATCAAAAACTTTTACTTTTGAGTATGAGACGAGCTGCAGTTGGATTGAAGTTCTTGTTATATGCCAATCAATTAAATGATTATAAGAATGAATGTCCAGACAGTGATTGCGACTTAGATTTGGATTTATTTGATGAGATCTCTACAGAAGAAGTAGTGACAACTACTTATAGGGATATCATTCCCGCTGATAAGGATTCATCCAGTAAATGCAGTTTATCTAGTACGAGCAGTTGTGATAGCAGTTGTGACAGTAACAACAGCGATAGTGGCGGAAGTGATCACGAGAAGAATAAAGAAGGTACTCCAGGCAAAATATGTGTCACTATACGCAAAAGATCGCTTGTTGTTCATTCGTATGATCTGTTGCGATTTGATAGGAGAATGTTGGTAAAGCAACAGGGATGAATTCTTCAAGAAACAAGCGCATGTTAATAATGTAAGAGATGAGAAGAGGGAATGAGAATTAGAATGTATAATATTTAAAGATTAGGACTTTTTATTTGTGAAAAAAAAAAAAAAAAAAAAAAAAAAAAAAAAAAACATTCCAAAAATTTCAGAATCATTAACAAATAGGTCATTACCTATTCATACACTTTTACACAACTCCCATCATTTTTCTTTGTTGAAGCTTTTATTTTTGAATTTATTAGAGCTTAAAGATCAACATCAACAAAGGAAATTTTTTTTTTTGTATTTTAATATTACAAATCGATTTTCTCTTTTTTTTTTTTTTTTTTTTTTTTTTTTTTTTTTTTTGTATGTTCTATTGCATAATCAAAGAGGGTTTTTTATATATAAAAAACATTTTTGAATAATATATTTAAAGTTTGAAAAGGAAAAGAATGATCTATATGTTATTTTTATTATTCATTTATTTATTATATCCTAATACAATTTAGCATCATCAAGAAATTTAAATAATTTCACCATTTTAAGCATAGAAAGTTCATTATTTATATATATAATTAAATCTACTCATTTTGATTAAAATTAAATTATACGACATTCATATTAGTAACGTAATCTGAGTCATGATTTAACATTTATCGTTAGTCATTAATGTTGACATAAATAAATTTTGACGTGACATAGTTTTGAACCAAAAAAATTTTTTATGTATACTGAACAAATCGGAAATTTTTTATCTTAATACATCGGAAAAATATATGAGAGGATGCACGAAATGCACGATGTAAGGGAAAAAAAAAAAAGAATCTTTTTTAAAAAAGTGTTGCTACTAAATATAGCAACCAAAGATAATTTAACCGGTAATGCATAATAAATTCGCGTGCGGAAATCAACTGAAGATAATGGAATGTTTCGGACATTCTCTCTCAGTAGTCACTTTTATATAATCACAATTCCAGAATTTGCTATAATGTGATATTCTCGTTTCAGTTTTTTTTTGATTTGAATATTTATTTTTACAATCGTTTTAGTTTTATTTGAAGTAAAATCGATGGATAAAATGATAATTATCAGATGAAGGACCAAAAAAACATAAATAATGAACAATTAGATAGAATTGATCAGGTAAAGGATCACGTTCATAAGTATTAAGAGATTTATCATATTTTCTTCAGTAAGCTTTTAATATAGGTGAAGAATTGGATTTAAAAGCTTTTGATAATTATTGTCCTCAAATAGTTGGTAAATAAAGTTTAATGGTTAATGACAATTTCTTAAAATTTCCGGATAGTAAATCTCGTGAAAAAGTGTCATATTTTAAGCATTATACATTTACCAAAAGCCAGAAGATATAACTTTAACTACTTATAGCAAATCATATGCTGTAAACAATAAATTTACAAAAAGCTAACATTGTTCTGGAATACATATACGGGTATAAACGTTAAGATCTCAATATGATTCGTCGAAAGAATATTAATTTAGAAATTTCAATGATTCCTATCTCAATAATAATTTCTGTTTTTCAGTAATTATAATAATTTTGTTTATAAAGTTTAAGATTCTTATTGCATTTAAAGATTTTAATTATCTTTTTTTTGTAATAATTCTTATTTTAAAAGTTTATTATTATTTGATAATATTTTAGAGATTAAATTAAAATTATCCTCTAATAATTTAAATACTTATATTACTTTTTTATATAATTTATCAAATTAATAAGTTAGTTTATAATTTAATAATTTCATTTTTTATTAAAATGTAAAATCTTTTCAATTTATAAATTCCTTAATTTTTAATCTATTATTATTATTAATTTTTAGAGTATCTTTATAAATAAATTAATTATATTATATAATATCTAGCTTTTATAGTACCTATATAAAAATTTTAACTTAAATTACATTATCTCTGCAAACTATATATAATTTTTATTGTTTTAATTCTTAATATGAATTAATCAGTAATTTAACAGCATTAAAAAAAATGTCAGATCTTTAATATAAGTATATAGTCAACTCTCTATAAATGTATTCTCTATAAATATATATCCTTTATAAATGTATCTTTTTATCTGATTCTAACTTAGGTCTTAGTGCTAAATGCATGTTTTATATATATATTTTCTGTAAATGCATTCTTTATAAAAATTTTATATATTTTACTTATAAATTTTTTGTATTACTTTAATTTTTAAATTAATATTATATAGATTTATATATATTCTATAAATACGTATTCTCTTTAAAATGCATTCTTATATCTAATCTTAAGAGAAGTGTATTCATAAAGAGTTGACTATATATATATATATAAATTATGTATCAAATTGTTGATATTAACTAAATTCTAAATAGTTTTTTTTAGCAAATTTATTTAAAATAATTAAAACTTAAATTAAATCTACTTATTTATTTTTTAATTAATGTTGATTATATAAACAAATACAAATTTTAGATTTTATTACAAATTTAAAAAATATATATAAAGTTAAAGTTGCTTATCTAAACTTATTTTATATTTGATAAAATGGTTAAATTTTTAATTTAACTATTTTTGTTAAATTTTTAATATAATTTTGCTATTTTATAAATTTTAATATCACCTTTTTCTAAATTTTATAACTTTTTAAATAAAATTCAAAATAACTTTTATTAAGTTTTACTTTTACTATTTAGATAATTTATAAAAATTTAAGTTTTGTTCAATAATCTTAATTATAATAAAATTAAATACTAATTATAATAGATATTGAAAAACTGAAAATTTAATTAAAAAAATAAATATTTTTTATTTATTTTAAAAATAACAATTTAAATTTAAATTACCTTATAATTAGATTACTAAAAAGTAATTCTAATTTTTGAAAACTGCATTCTGATAATATTAATGTATTATATTTAATAATATAATATTTTATATTATATAGTAAAAGATATTTTAGTTATCTCTTAAAACGTAAGTATAAATTGGTTATAAAATATTATAGAAAAATTATAATATTTTAATATCTAGTGATTATAAAAAGATAAAATAAAATTTATTAGATTT